CCCCTGACTTTGCCCAGGCTTGTCCAAAAACCTAGTTTAATTATCATCATCAATAAGGGCTGAAGAAGCTTTATCTACAAGGTAGTGAATGCCTCGTCTCAAAAGAGGGAGTTCCATGATAAGAGCTAATCTAAAAAAACCTGAGGAATGTAAACTATTTTCTCAGTTGTAAAAACATGAAAGAATTGCACAAACACAAGTTAAAACAAATACTGCTAAACTCGCTTTTCTCCTGCAGAGACAGCTTATCCTGGGCTCAGGGCCTATTCAATAAGCACTGAGTATCCATGCTTTGGATCAATCCCACCTTTCAAAGGTTGAGGTCTCAAAAGTCAACATCACTTTTATGTATGGTCACAGATGGGGGCCTTTCCACCGGCCTTATTCCTTGAGTTCTGAAAAGCAAGGATGCCTTCAAAATAGCTTCAGCCTTCCAAGGAAGAAGTCAGAAATCCAACTCACATTTTATTTTATAGATGTCTGTATGACAGCCTTTATGACAACTCTTTGTGCTTGGGTAGGTCGCGTAAAAGTTGCAAAAAAATTTACTTCTAATACTTTGGGTTATAATTACATTACAGTTTTGTGATTCTTCTCCACACAAAACTTAATCATCTTTTACCATTTAGACATGAACGTGTTAGCACAAGGTGTTTATTAGTAGGTGATGTTAATGTTTATAGCTTGCAGCTGTGCAGGAATTCTATGGCAGTTGCTACACTGAAGCATTGGCTATAGTTTCTTTGAAAGACCACTAAGTTACCGAAGATCTAGTTATGACCTCCAGATATTGATCGTAAGATTCGTCACAGTCATACTGACAATCATCATGTGTTGAAGAATTGAGAAATATTTAGCTGCAAAGAAATTACTGAATACTCTACACTCATTGAAATACGTACTAGAAATTACTGATCAACATAATCAAGCTGATTAACCAAGACAAGATACCAACACAAATTGTCCTTTAAGTAAAACCTAAAAGACATTTCTTTTGCTCTGTCAGCTGGTCCATATGTCAACAGAACCTGCCTCAGTCAATTAAAACATCATCATAGTTTGTTATATTTAAGAGCTGCCAAGTTCCAAATACACTTTCTACAATGCCTAAACATACATAAAAACTTGATCTTTCCATTCCACCTCTACTTAATCATAATCACTCAGTAGAATACAGAAATTGTTACACCAGGTCAAACCAGCAGCCCTCTAATGGCAGTGCCGCCCATGTCCTCCAGAAGAAAGCCCAGGGAACGTCACAGCAGAGAGTTGTGGCCTAATCTGCCCCAAGGGGAATTTCTTAAACCCTGTCAGAGTGGTTGATTTATGCCTCGGAGCAAAATGGTTAAGATCTCTTCAAATACAACTGTGAATGATCTTGCTATCCATAGAAATAGCTCATTTTTCTTTGTCATCCTACTAACTTAGATTATGTGGTCTCCTTTGGCAATAATTATAAGTGATTTAGGAGCTGTAAATGTCTTTCAATTTATTCTCTATATGTAGTCAGTATTATACCAAAGGGTAACATACTGATTACCTAATAATGATTAATCATGATTCTACATATACATATTCTACCTTTTCTAGTTTATCTTCCCAGGACAAAACTACATTAACATTTTCAGTTCAACTTCTTGTGAATTTTTTTCAATACCTCCTTTGCAGTAGGCAAGTGAAAAATTCCAGGTGAATTTAAGAATTTAATTAATTAATTTAAGAATTAAATTAAACTTAAGAATCTCCTTCGTATTATTAACATAAAATTTTACAGTTGTGAAACTTTTTCTGCCTGATGCTAAACATTAAGGAAACACAAAAGATCTAATAAAACATTGCTGAAGTCTTCTTCCACATTAACAAACACAGTTAACGTACCTGAGTAATTATATTATTCCTTCTAACATGCATGTTCTTGAACTTATCAACATCATCTGCTATGCTTCCCTTTTACCCAGCTTTCTTGGATTCCCTTTACAACTCCTCAGTCTACTTCAATCTTGCCTATTCCAAATACTTTTGCATCATTAGCAAGTTTTGGCACACCATCATTCATCTAGTTTATTAGATCATCAACATATATTTTCACCACCCTCTTTTCAGAGTTCTTTCTACTTCACATGGTAATTTAAAGTTTACATTGTTACCAAATCATTAAATAAAAAAAAAAGGAAGCTTTCTTAAAGGGGACCATTTCAACTAAAATAAGCATAAATTCATTCTTCCAAAAATCAGAAAGAAAAGCTGCAAGACTTGTGTGGTGTTGAACACAAAGTTTGCTAAACTATTCATATTAAAGAATGTCCTAGGTGTTGCAGTACATCAAAGACAGGTTATTTGATGATGATGATGTTATTTTAGGATATCACCAATTCAGTATTTCAGACACTTTTGCTTTTTTAGAGATCCCTCTTAACACTATCAATGACTAAATTTTCTGCCTCTTAAGTATTTTCATAAGCTTTTTATATGATTATATACAACTTCTTGTAAGATCAACAACAACGGGGGACAAATATATTTTAAATATACGCATTTCTTTCATATGCTTTGTGCTGTGCCATGATCTTGTGCCCTTAATTTTGAACGATAATTTTCTAATTGACCAAATTGACTTTGAGAATTACTTCAGAGAGCAAAAATCTGGACTTCTTCACTCTCTTCCACATCTAAGGCCAAAAATACCAATCAACACTGCTCACAAGGCAAGCCATTCGGTTTGCACAGTCGCATTAGTTTTATTTCACCACTGTCTAATCATACTAATTCACTAACAGGAGGACAAATTTCATTATATTACCCACAGACAGGGAAAGTGGAAGGAAACGTGTCGTGCTCTGAACTTCTCAGTTCTTTATATAAACCCAGCCTTGAATTCAATGAGTATGCTTTCAAAATAAAAAATCCCTCCAGTTATTAAGGAAAAATAACACCAGATTTAGTTAGTGAAAACCATTCCTAATATTTCAAAAGAAAGTCAGCTCAACTATCTTAAAGGAAATCGATGAAATTAATACTAATATTTCTTGCTTACCAAAGCACCAATTGCATATGAAAAGATCTAAAATTATTCTGTGAGCTCCAATGTTTTGTTCTTGTTGCTTAACATGGCAAAGCTATGTGGACATTCCTGTTAATTCTCCATTTCATCAGGCAGCTCCACAGAGAGAGAAGCATAACCCAATCCCCAAATGATGGACAATCAAACCAAACGCACTCAAGAGTCGGGAAAACAGAAAATACAGATGTGTTATTATCCCCTCAAAATCATCTCGCACAATTTCACAAACAGTTGAAGCCCGAGTTGGAGGAGAAATAAAAAAAAAAGAAAAAAAAGAAAAAAAAGAAAAGGCACAACCTGGTAAAGCACATAAGCATCAGCTCCTGGACACCTGGATATTCAGCTTCTTCACCCTGTCAGACCTCAGACTTGTTCTCATCCCCTTATCCAACCCAAAGGAAGAGAAGAAAAAGCCACAGATTGCAACTCCTGCTCTTAGGGCTACATTCATATACGTGAGAATCCCTAATCCATTAGGGAAGTAAGACACCCTCTCACCCATCCCCTTCTGGGCTCAGAGTGCCCTGCAAACTGGAGTGCCCGGCCTGAGGCTGAAGAAGGTAACCCAAGGAGGACAGACACCCATGTGGGATGACACTGGCAGTGTCACAACACACCAAGCCAGAGACCAGGGTGCATCTAGCACCCCGTGGGCACGGAGAGCTCCAGGGCTGGGACGGGGCGACCACGGAGCTGTGCCCACTCTTATCACCAGCTTGAACTCAAAGCAGATGTACCCCAGTTCCTTTAGGACAAATTCTTCTTCCTTTTTTTTCTTTTCTTCCCCTTTTACAGAAATTTAAGGCACAGAGCCAGTAACTTCCACAGATTTTCTGAATATGCAACCAGTAAGAATTAAGACTCTTAAAATACACCAATAACACCAAAGTGGATCTTCTCACATCAAACTTGAAACATTCTCATTCATGAGCAGATTCCTCACAGGAGGAACAAAATCTACAATGAAACTCTTTTCAGGCAGCAGAAGCTGCTCTTACACATCTCGCTATGGAATGCTATGCTAGGGCATGCTGCACTTCACTGTAAACTTCAGCATTAAAACAAGACCTTTAGAGCAGATCGTCAGAATAAAATTTCCCTGTTTACGTGAAACTTCCTTTAATTGAGCTGGATACATTTGTACTAATATACGCCATACTAAATATTATAGCCTGGCTTCTGCAAAGATTTGTATACATGCTTAATATTAGGTATATAAAAGAAATCCCATGGCTTCACAAGCTCTACTTATGATTGAGACTTAAGCATGCAGGTGAATCCTTGCAGGACTAAGACCTATACCTGCTTTAGCGTCTGCTGCAAACTTTTTACAATTTGCATGTTTCCATGTTTATAAAACACCTCTAGCAAACTAAACATTCCAACAAACAAGGGCTCTCTTCCAAATCAGGAGCTGGAGGAAAAGTGCAGCCTTTCACACTGCATATGTGTGTGCTAAGTTTAAATCCAGATTAAAGAGATACATTTAAGGAACATGTAGTCACGTGCAGTCTCATTGGACATGAGGAGAAATAGAAAGGAAAGGAGTCTTTTTTCTCTGTCCCTTTTGCTGTAGAGGCACCAGAAAAAAACTTTGAAGAAGGAAAGGGGATAGTTTTGAAAAGCACATAGGAAACATTTTTTCAGAGCAAGATCTTTGTCCAAGGCTGAAGCAGCCACCAGCAGCCTAGCCGGTCTGCACAAGTACACACAAGCAGATGTGTTTCGTCGTGAGCTGCTCCCTACCAAACCCTGCAAACTGACTCCCAGGCATCTGCTGGGCAAGAACGACCAGTAAAGATGCACTTAATCAGCCACTAATAGCAACAAGATCAGCTGCTAATTAACCCTCAAGAACAGCGCTGTAACAAAGTTAATTCTGCTATGATTACAGAAACATTCAAAAGCCAGGTTCCCAGCTACAGTAAAACGTACATACAACAGCTCAGTTTGCTCCATGCCCGCGGCTCCTGGTCTGATCAATCCTTTGCCCAGGCCTTGATCCACTCTACCAACTCCTCCGAGGTTGCATCGAGTCCATTTTAAGCCTTCAAAGCTTTCCCCTCACAAGTGCAGATCCGATGGGCACAGGCTCTCCAGAGGACCTAGGGAACTGCCCTCTGGCTGAGGGACTGCGCTTCAGCCTACAAGTTTGAGAAACTCCCCAACTTTTGCATCACCTCCCATTAGATACACACAAGTGCCCTCTGCCTGTGAGCAGCTCTGGCACAGCCTCCTACAGAGGCCAAGAGCCGTTCAAGAAAGTGCTGCCAATAATAGACCAAGGCCTAACGCTTATTTGTGTAGCTTTAACATCAACGCGTGCTTTATTTTACATCATGTAGCAAGTACTAGATGCCAGCCTCAGATCCTCCAGTAGGCAAGGGCAAAAGCTGCATAATCCATGTTTTGTCCCCATATTTGCTAGGACCTCCTTGGCTAAAGAGCTAGGCACTGCCAGGGCTCTTTCCCTCCTATTTCTCCCCCAAAGGAGCTGCCTTCAGCTGCGCCCATAATCCACAGAGGTTGGCAGGTGGCTTCAGTGTTGGATTTGGGGGAGCCATTTTATGCACAGACTCCCCAAACTCTGAATAATTTCAAGACAAAACAGAAGGGAAAAAAAAAAAAAGAAAAAAAAAAAAGAANAGAAAAAAAAAAAAGAAAAAAAAGGAGAGAGAGAGAGGGAGGAAAGAGAGAGAGAATAAAAGAAAAAGAAAAAAAGAAAAAAAAGAAAAAGAAAGAAATGATTCTGCTAAAAGTAGTTCTTTCCACTATGGTTTCAGGCCACATGCGAAAAGTGCCAGAAAACTTTCTGGACAACAACATTTGGCATCGGAGCCTTTCCCGGCCACCGCTGGCTTCCCCCTCGGTGAAGTTCCGAGCACCTTCTAAGGGAAACGTGCGAGCCCTCTACGGAAGGCGCGGACAGGGCGCTCTCCATAGGGAAGCCCCGGCTCACAGCTCCACGCGCGCCGCCTATACATTATGTAAGGCTGGTCCCACATACGCTCCGGCCAAGAGCGCTTGTCTGGCGACCTTAAAAACGCGCCGGCTTCGCCACCTGGGAGAGGGGCGAGATGGCAGCCTGGGTGCCCGCGCGGCGGCCGGGCACGGAGCAGCTAACAAAGACCAAGGTAAAGCCGAGGCGCAGGAGCCCGTACGGGCTGCCGGGGATGTCCCCCGCGAGCGCGGTCCGCAGCCCGGCGGCCACTTGGGGAGTTTGCAGATTAACTCCCCGCGGCCGCGACGCGCCCGCCGCGCGCGCAGGAGCGGCGCAAACTCGAGCCAACTGCGCCGCCCGCGCCCTTACCTGCTGCGCGGCTCCGCGCGGCGGCCGCTGCCCGTGCCCGGAGCCCGGAGCCGCTGCCCGTGCCCGGCCCGGCCGCGGCGGGGAGCGGGGGCCGCTGCGGGCGCCCTCGGGTGCGGGCGGGAGGAGGCAGCGCCGGCCCGCGGGGCGAGCGGGGCCGGCGGCGGCGGGGCCGGGGCGGCGCGGGGAGTCACGGCCCAGGAATGCCAGGAATGTGGGGCGGCCGCTGCGGCCGCGGGCCCGGAGACGTCGGGGACTTCACTTGGGATTTCTTCTGCTCCTTCTTTTTTTCTTTTTTTTTTTTTTTTTTTTTCTTTTACTATTTCCACCCCCCCCTTCCGAAAGAGGAGGGCTGAAACCCACCCAGAGGAGGAGGGAAAAGGAGGGAGGAAGAGGAGGGCGCAGGCTCCTGCCAATCCGGGCCGGTGCCTGCTGCAACTCTCGCAAGGAGCGCAGAGCTGCCAAGTTTGGGGCAGAGCCGGGCGCCTGCTCGGCCCGGCCCGGCCCGGCCCGGCCCGGCCCCTTCCCGCTGCTGGGAAGCCGCCCTCCTCCTGCCCGCCCCAGGGGCGAGCTCGGCGGAGCAGCCCCCGAGGGCACGGCAGGCAGTCCCAGAAATGCGGGCGGTGCCGGCGGGGAGAGGGGCTGGAGCCCCTGGCCCTGCCCTGGCCCCTGCCAGCCCCCCTGCCCCTCCAGGAGCCCCGTGTTGATCCCCTCCGGCCTTGTCCTGAAACATGCTTTCCCTCTCCTTAGACTCCTTTTCTCCTGCTTTGGGTGTTTCAGCTGCTTTGGCCACTCACTCATGGTGTCATCTTGGTTTCTTAAAGGGTGGGCATCTCACCTGGTCTCCTGTGGTGGGCTGTATTTGTAGCATTGCTCGAGAACAAGCAGGACAAAACCTGAAGATGCATTGGCAACTATGAATTTTCCAGGGCTCATGGCACTTGGCAGATGAGGAAAGACACTTCTGGTGGCTGTGTTGGGAAAGAGAAGGGAAACGGAGCATCCCATGCTACAGGAAGTAAGGAGAACCATCAGGAAGGCCGGGACCACCTAGAGAAGGAAAAGGAAACAGATGAGACCAGTGAGGGGGTTTAAGATGGTATCAGTCCTAGAAAGGATCTGTAGATCTTCTTGAGTGTCACAAGCCAGTCGTGTTGACTGGCAAAACTATTTTAATCCTAGACTAAGTATTTTTTTTTAATGATGCATATTCCAAAAAGTAAATACTTGTGACGCCAGTGGATACCTGCAGAACAATCAGGAGGAGGTATCTCTCTAAAATTGTGGCACCAGAACTTAAAGAATCTTACAGCAGGGAGAACATGAAGAAAAATAATGAAAGCTGAGAACTGATACTCGTTTGTGAGCTGCAGTGAAGTTTTACTGCTTGTAAACGTTGTACACACACACACGCCTTTGTGAAGGACTACGTGAGCGCTGGAGTCTGTGAGGATTACTCAGATTAATAATGGTAAGAGGATCAGGTGCTGAGAGAGGGAGAAATAGCACAGATTCTTGATTTTGATAGATAAGTAATTGTATTTAAATACTGTATGTGGAATCACAGGCCTATGCCTTACCTCTGGCATAATATTATTATAATTACGTTTTGCAAGGAAAGTCCTTTTCATCCGAGACTCTCAAACATTTTACAAACACCACACCTTGATGAAGTAAGTAATTATCCCCATTTTACATATGGCTACGCTGAGGCATTAAGAAGTGACAACGTTTAAGATTTAAACATGTGTTTTACTTGACCGCATACAGATTTGAGCTTTTAATCACAACCTAAAAGTGTCATAAGGTGTCAGGATGAGATAATAAAATGGAGAATAGAGGTCCTGCACCCTGAGTTTATGCATTTCAATTCTGTGCCAAAAATGTTTCCCTGTAGCAAGTGCAAAGGTATGTGAAAAGGTAATATGCATTTAAAGTAAGGCTTAAGGTTGTTTTTTTGTTTTGTTTTTTCTGCCCAATTCTCAGCCATTGGGGAAGGTGTAAAGACTTGCTTTTTAGTGAAATGAAGATTGACTTTCACATACATGCTTCACTGTGGTGTATTTGTAACCTAAGCCTTGCAGCTGAATCCATGGTGTGCATGGATTTTACTTTTTTAGGTCTCTCTGCATTTGAGGAAAACTCGTTTGATGGCTGCAGATGGTTCAATAACTGGAGATAAAATAATGTTGCAAGAAGATGTGTAAACATGCTGATAGAGAAAGTTTTTAGAGGGGACCTTCTATATATTTCCTACCCCCAGCACCAATGCCTAGAAGAAAAGACTACTTGTAAGCAAGAGCTTTTGCAAAAAGGTAAGCTTAACAAAATCTGCAAAGTGAAATATATTTCAAACTAATCCAAACAAGGGACGCTTCTGAAACTGGGAATGGTAAGGATCGCTTTAAGTAATCTCATGAATAAATATCCTTATTAGACTCTTAGAAACTGTAGTAGTAAGTGCTTTAGGAATAGAGAGCTGCACAGAGACCATATCCAGTTAGTGCAGTGTCTCCTACAAGGAAATCAATCGTGTTGGAGGTATTTCTACTTTCCAAGACAGTTGAAACCTCAAACCTTTACATATATTTTTGTTTCTACAGAGCTGCTAGGATTATAGGACCCTGGATTAAAACCAAGAGTTCCTGCCTGCTTTTTGGGTGTGATCTCATAACATGGAGAAAAAAATATAAAAAGGGGGGAAGAAAAAAAAAGGGAGGGAAAAAAAAGAAAAAAAAATGGATTAGAGGCTCCTCAGGCTGTTTCAAAAATGTGGTGGCTCTAATTTATCCAAAAAATGTCTTTCAGTAATAATGTAGGCTGGATTTATTCTTTTTTAAATATTCCATCTGCACTGGTTTGAATTATATATTACTTGTTCCTTCTGTAAATCCATCAGGAATACTGCATTAAGATATTCTATGGGATAGTAGCATATTCCAGAATTGAATGATTGACATAGGACTGTACCTCAGTTACCTTGGCTGCTGGCCTTTTGTATATCTTGGGCAAGTAGCAACATATCTCTGTGCCTTAGTTTTCTTCTCTGAAAAATGAGATAATGATCTTGATCTTAGTAAGGTGCTTTTTGATTTAAAGATGAAAGCACTGCAGTGGAGCTAGATGTTGTTTTTTTAAAAAAAAAATCTCAAATCATGGATTAGACAGACCTGAATATTGTCTTTAAAATCTTGTGAAAATAAAACCCCAATATCATTCAGGTTGACCAAATGTTTAATATTAATAGAGGAATACTGATTTTAACTGGGTGTGAAAATCTACTGGGTGTCGATTTTCCGTGAGTGGTCTGAAGAGCTGTGTGGAATACATCTTGAAGGACCTTGCTAGTAAGATCTGTATTAAATATATTTTGATATACTTGCAGGCAACTGCAATTCTAGAGTCTTGTCATAACATGGAAAAATCTCAGTCCTTGTTGGTTGGTAAAACCATGTCATAACCTGTTTTGAATAAAACTGTCTTTAAACTCTGCTTAAGCAACAGCTGATGGTTTCTTCTGTGAACAGTAGATGATGTTTAATGAGCCTCACAGTCATCTACATTACAATCAAATCAAAGAATGCAGTTGCAACACATTCCCGATTTGTATTGTAAATGTGACCCTAACTGTGTTCCTAAAATCTCTGTCATGTGCTACAGCTGGGTACACTGACCTGATTGTAATGTAAGCAAAAACTTGGTGTAGTAGCAGAAATTCCCAATTCTAAAAGCCATTTGTTCTTTATAAATTGCTGCTTCTCATGGTTGAAGCTTACCACAAGCGAGAAAGTTTCCTTCTCTAGTATTCTGCCTTCTCTTTAATTATTTCATTTCATAGCGCTTTTCAAAATCGTCTCTTAGAAAAGGAATTTGGATTACACAATCTTGAAAAACAAACCTGTTGCCACCAAGCATGAGCTAACATGTTATAGTGCTCTACAGCTTATCATAAGTAAGCCAGCACCCAGTCTTGTAGACCAGAAAAAGTCTTGAGTGATTATCTGTGCAAATAAACTATGCTGTGTTGAATATTCTAGTTTGCTTAGGCTTACATTCTGCCTGAGGACTGAGTAGATGAGACTCTTGTCTTCTGTAAGAGCAGAAAAGTTTGTGATTATAAAATCACAAACTTTTTTATTATTTGTGATTATAATGCTAATCTTTTGATTCCACAGATGTAAGCACTCAAAATGTGCTCTTAGTAGCAATATCTAACTATGTACTGTTACTGATTTCCAAGCTGGTGTATAGTCAAAACTTTAGGATAAAATAGGATTGTATTCTGCCATTTTCTTAGATTAACAATTAGAACATTTTTCAATGTATTATTTAGCAACTATTAGATGTATTAGCCTAATCTGAAAGCAAGTCCACAGCAGATATAAATCAAAAACAACTTCAATTTCAAAAATTCTCAAGCTATCGCTTTAAGGATCCAATTCATCAAAGTAATTTATTACAAGTTTAGCTTTTAGCCTGCGCTTCAGTTCTTCTTGAGCTAATGTGACTTAACAGCATGCCTGCAAGTCAGCCCACACCACTGATTTGTAGACATTTTAGCTGCTCCTCACGATAATCATCGTCTTTATTTATGTGTCTCGGCACGGATTTAGGTGTCTGACTTTGGGGTTTGAAAATATGTCATTGCCACCCGGAGAGAAATGGTTTCCTGAGCAAAACAAAGAGCTAATGTGAGAATCCAGACTTTGTGACTGTCACAAACTTGTGTAACTTGAGCAGAGTGTTTAAAGTTTGCTTACTTGTGAAAGAGGCATAACTGGATAGATTGGACCATACTTGGATAGATGACTACTGTAAAACCCCACAGTTTGAATACTTTCTGCAAACAACAAATGAAAGCCTCTGCAAATGAACAAAAGTTTGACGATATGTGTGTCAGCTTTTTGAAATGTGCATATTGTTTCTAACAGATTGTGATTTTTTTCTTCAAGTGTTGTATGTAAAGAGTTGTATAAACACATTTTGATAGAATTATCTCAGAAAAAAATAGTTTCCTGTTAATTGGGAATCCTGAGAGATCTATTTAAAAATTGTTATTTTCTGTGCCAACTTTAATTTTCATGGTACACTATCTTGGAAAGATTTAAAATGCATGCAAACATTTTTCTGGAAAGTGTTAAAAGAAAAATACCATTAGAAATAGCAATCAAACTTGGAATTCAGACCAGGGAGAGGCAAGGAGATCAAGTGATAATCAAAGTCATAAGGATGTAGATTTTGGAGCATTTGCTTTCTCCTTGCATATTTATTGAATATTTATTTTTCATTTCATGTAGTGGTACATAAAATATGGTTGTTTGAGATGGGTTTCTCACTGAATTTAGTTGGGTGACTGAAAACTCACTCTAGAACTTGAGTGTACGAGTGACAGAAAAAGTGCTGAGGTGATTAAGGTATGTGTAAGGTAAAGATTTATGTCTTGCCTGTTCAAGGTTTTAACAAAAAATAACACTGGAAGACTTTCAAGACAACATTAAGATAGATAAAAGTTAGTAGTTCATTTCATTAGTTTGTCAGGGACTGTGCAGGTTACATTATTTCACTGATGGCTGAAATGATAGATTTGAGTAGTAGGAATAGGAAGCAAGTACAGATTCTCAGATAACACCTAATACTTTTTTTAACATATGTACATATATTCTTTCTCTTTCATTATGGCATATAGATAAATATATAGACTCAGACTTTAGGTAGCTCGGGGAGTGTGATGTTCAAATGGAGAGGAATGGGTCATAGGGAAAATAGATTATTGCCTTACCAAATGCACCCTGAAACCTGATTACATCCTGACTGCAAGATCAAATAGTATTTGGTAGCATCATGACCTTTTTTTTAATTCTTAGTTATCTTCATGACTATGAAAGATTTGCTTGGTGTTGCTATTTTTGGCTGAAAGCTAAAGGAGGCAATTCACCATTTAAGAAAAAAAAAATTAGAAAGTGTTCCAATTTTATGTACAGCTCAGTAACTGACAACTTGATGCCTAGACAATAAGGACTGAATATGTCATATCATAATGTATCATAGTGTAACCGCCATAATTATTTATCATTTTCTTCATATGCTTTCATGTTAGCTCTGTGTTATACTAGTAGGTGTATTCAGTCTTTTACAAATAATATATTTAGAATAGAAATGAAAAGTATAAATATAATTCCCTTTTGCTGCTGTAGCAGCATTGCTATGGTTGCAAATCTAGCTCATTTTCTCAGATAAAGCCAGTATGTGTGCTCTTAAATAACTAGCATTTCTATTTGTTTACTTTCTTACATCCCTTCAAAATATTCATAAATGTTAAAAAGCTAACCAAAAAAACTCCCTTTTTAGTTATTTTGTTGAATAATTTTACTGTCACCTGCGCAGATCTGTGTAACTAAACAGCAGCTTTAAACCTGCAGAAGCATTTAGCTTTGATTTTGTAGATGTAAAGTGACAATATTACACTTTATACAAAGACCCTCTGATCACAATTACTGAGAGTCACTGCAGTTTATGTGCAAAAGAGAGGCGTAAACAGAAGCAGAAGCTGTAAGATATCCGGGTAAAGTAAGTAAGTTCTGAATCTTGAGAACACATCTCCTGTGGCTGTGGTTCCTTACGGTGTTGTCTCCCACCACCATTTACAACAGGTTGGTGCCAGGGATTAGAGCGTGGGACTTTGGGGGGTCGCTCTGCAGGGTTTTGGCTGATAGGAACTGGTGCTGCGGGCCTTGCCGTGTGCCCTGGGTGGGCTCAGGGACACGTGCGCAGCCCCGCAGCGCAGCGGGCTGCAGACCCTGCTCCTCAGACCTGCAGCCTTAGTTGGGAGGCTCTGCTGGGTGACGTGACCACCAACCTGCTCAGCAGCTGCAGGTATTTTACCCACTAATACATTTATGCAGTCCACCTTGCACTGGTATTGATGAGAGCGCTGCTGCAGCAGCTCCCCACGGCACGTAAGAAATACTGTGTACAAACACTGTTTCCTTTGTGAATAAAGTTATAGTTTAGCATTCCGGATATGATGCGATCTCTAGTTTTGTTCCTGACTGCCAGAGAGCTGCTGCAGATCAGCCTTTTTGCAGGAATGCAAGATGAGACACTTCGGAAACATAAGGATCCCTATCGCCTAGGCTGCTGCCGTTTCGCTTACGTCGCCTGGCAGGGATGGGGAATCGTGTTTTCCAGAGGCAAGATGGATCTGTTAGTACCAAGCAGGTTTGGGTGTATCCTAAAGAAAGCATCCAAGCTTTTTGCTTTCACCCTCAAACTTGGCAGAGCTTCTGTCCCTTTTTTCTTTTCCCCCATTTTTGTTCCTCATATTGCTTGACTCTTGACATATTGCAGCTGTGATATGAATCCAGCCTTTAATATTTGCGTATTTGACTTAGTGCTTTGGCCTTTTACCAAAATTACAGTAAGGAATGCAGATGAGAAGAAATAAATGGTGATTTTGAACATTTGGGTTAAGAACTGAATGGAATTTCAAGGACTTCACAAAGCAAAGGTGGTTTCTCTGCTCAAAATGGGGGTGTTCGGCACTGTGGTATTTTGAGAGCCTCTCAGAAAGAAAGGTCTCGGCAATTCAAGCTAATGCAGAGTAATACAGAAGCAACTGAAAGTCTTAGGCAGGCTGGTGGTTACTATTAACATCTCTCT